TTGGCTTGGAGCACTTATAACTGTTGAAAAGAGTCACTTGATTGATTTTAACTGAAAGGAAAACTTGGAACAGAATGTATTTTGCACAGGAGGGTTACTACTGTCCCATTTGCTTAACACGCAACTTTGCCCTACTTCTGGTTCCATTGTTCCGATGCTGCCTGTGTGCAGTACGAATGGTTAGTTGCAATGATGGCACATTTACGAACCGGATTGACCTTGACACAAAAGATCACGTGACTTCTAAAGATGACTACTTGCGCAAGAAATGATTTGCAAGGAGTGACTCTATCCACTATTTCCCCTTAGTAATGATGTCAAACTTGTGCTGTCAAAGCATTAACTTGAGGTCAACAGACTGCGGTCAAGGAACTTTTGTCCAAGCCCCTCCCCCCCCCCCCAAATGGCTGATACGTCCCTACCCCCCCCCCCCTTCTTAAAAAAGGGTGATAAAACAAGGTTGATCTTGAGGCATTGATGTTAGTTGCTACCTCGGGTGTATGCCAAATGACCCTCCTAACAGAGAACCATGCAAGACAACTTCAACGAATTTTGCTTCAAGGATGTTCAAATTTGAAACACCCCATAACTGAACTTAACTTTGAAAGATGATTTCAAATCCCTCAGCCCAAGAAGCTAGCTGCCAACTAATACTACGCAACTCTAGATGAAACTCATGGCTCAATTTTTTTTTTTTTTGGTGGTTTTTCGTCGCCTACGCTGGGTGAATGGATCCAATTATTGTGAGCTTCCGGAATCTAATGACCGATTCACATAGCTTTCTTGAGTCATCCCCTGCGAGTATTATGCATCCACTTAGGGTTTCCAGTACGGAGAAGGCCAACCTTCGCCGTCACACTTCATAATGCTGTACCAGTTACCGCAGGTTACCAGTTGCAATGTTAAGAAATCGTCAGCGTTTTCTCGAAGGGACGAATTTGACCACGGGGTGTTTGTTGAACAGTGGTTCTGAGAAAATCGGGTTTTAAGTTGGTCACTTTTGGAAATAAAGATTTCGCCTATTTTTTGGGACTAATTTTTTATACAGATAGTAAGCTGAGATCTTAACTTCAAAAATGTACCTATTCAGAATAATAGAACAATTAATTGCGGAGTAAGCGGACTAATTAATCTCCATAGAGATTTGTCTGTTCGTGAAAACTCAAAATCCCACACGTGCGTTGTTTTGCCGGGCGCATTTGCCCATACCCATTGCGCTAAATTTGTCTCTACATGAAAACTAAAAATCCCACACGTGCGTTGTTTTGCCCTTTGCGCTCAATGTGGCACTTTGTGAAAACTCAAACGCCTATATGCGCGTTGTTTTTGCCCCATAGAACAACGTGATAAAGTTGGAATCTGTCTCTTCGTGAAAACTTAAAATACGATTCAGGTGAAATTTTCCCTTCATTGATTGTCATGATTTCACTGATTTAAACTGGTTTTGACAAACAAAAAACTTCGCCAAATGATTCGTTGCTGTTCACTTCACCAATTTCGGCTGGAAAAAGAATGTCGAAAAAAATATATGGATTTTTGGCCGAATTCGTCCCTTCGTGAAAACGCTGACGAAATGGGGTACCTTTTGGCAATTTTATTATTCTGGTTTCCAGCTCGTAGAAGCAAAATAAACTAGATTCACATGATAACATTGTCTAATACACCATTTTCATATCTTGCAGAAACCACATTCAAACAAAAAGGTACACAATTCATCATGATGTTCCTTACTTGTTGCGATAAGTGGCCTCGGCTGTTCAAATCACAGAAAAACGTGTGCCCTTGCCCTAAAGGCATCACTATTTTTTTTATCTACAGTGCATTGCAATCAAAGGTCCAAAGTTCACCACTGAAATTTTGCAATCAACCAAATTCTTAAGATTTTTTTTTTCCTTTACGCAAAGCAAGCGACATTTCCATCTAAGAATAATAAATAAACTTAAAGAGTTTTATTTCCTTACAAAAAGAAAGTAAGATTTTCATTTAAGAATAATAAAAAAAAACCGACTTAATTTCAAACTCAATGTCATGGACAAGGTTGGATGAAAACCTTGAAAATAACCAGCGAAACTGTTGACACACAAGATTTATAAAAGTTTTAAAATGTGGTAATGAATGAGGGTGGAGGTTGTTGTTGGGGGCGGGGCATGGGAAGTGTGGAGGGGGTGATGGAAAGACACTAGTTCAGGGGTGGGGGGGGTGGATGGGAGGGGGGTGGATCGGGAGGGGGGTGGATCGGGGGGGGGGGGTTAACACAAATTTCCTTTATATTTTCTGGCGAAAGCTTGGAGGGGGTTTAAGGTGTCTAGATTTACCACTAACTCAGAAGTAACGCCTGTTAGGCAGAGGGAAGTTATGTTAAAAGAAGGGTGCGCATTAGATTTACCATTTGCCCCAGTCAAAATAAGACTAGTGACAGAAAGGCATCCATGCCTTGAACACTGTATAGCAGTTGTCCTGTTCAAAATGGGTTGTAACAAAAAGTCTACACAATGTAATAATCATCAAAGCATATAGGAAATGGATTTGTTACAATGTAACATAATCTGATACATTGTAATACAAAGTAACAGAAAAAGGAAGTTGTATGAATTTGGTGTTGGTGTTGCAAATGAAAGTGTCATTGCAGGAAAAAAGCTACCCTTTTTGGTATTATGGACACATTTTTTTGTCATATAAATATTGGATGAGCATAAACTAATATTAATGAAGACTTTTTTTCTGAAAATTCCCTCAAGTACCACTACAAAGAGACTATATGCTTGTTGTAAACTCAAGATTAAAAATATATGAGTTGATTTTTTTTTCGCCTCATCTTAAAGTTGTGTGTTTGCCCAAAGAAATTCCTGAATTGCTGAATATTCCATTAATGTTCTGAAATAATATGCATCTTTAATATCCTTTAAAAATTAAACATGTGAACATGTTTTCAGTTTTTTAATGACCTTATTCTGACAAGCTATTCAATTAATTTATGCGTTAATTTAAAAGACATTGACATTGACATTGTTTCAAAACTATTAAACTATTACTGTTTTTCCTAAATTAACATAAAGTCTGTTTCCTGAAAACTAAAGGAAGCATGTCTTCCTGTGCAAAGGAATTACGAAAAAAATGCACTGACAAAATATTCCACATGACCTGAGATTTTAAATACAAAGTAAACAAACTTACTATGCCATCCTGTTTGTTTATTCACATAAACAACTGTATTTTCAGGCCAAAAACTGACCCATCTAATTCCACCATTTGTTATTATAATGAGGGTGACACATTACTCCGAATACTGCACTGGACACTTCAGGCAAGCCTAATGCTCCGGCCATGGCTTTTTGCGGTTGACCATGCACGCGTTGGTGACCGCGCCACAAAACACAAATCCAACATAATCAGGCAGAAAAAAAGATAACATTTCAATTAATTCCCACGGAATAACAAACTCAAATGTTCTTACCTGTGAGTGCTAACGCCATATTGTACATTCAGAAAGCCTGTCTTCTTCCGATCGCCGACGAAATGATGGTTTTTCTTGCCGTTCTTGTTTTACTTTTTTCTTTTCCTCGATTGATAATCTCCCTATCCTCGCCCGTGTGCAAGAACTAGATCCCCCCGTTTTGAGGGTAACTTCACAATGTTGGTCACCTCGTCAAACGGATCATTCGTTGGCTGAATTGAACCTTTCAACTCCCCTTTGGCCGTGGCCGGAGTGGCTTTAGTTCAAGGCCAAAAGGGGATGGGCAGTACACTGTGCACTGCTTGACCACCGCGTGTGCGTGGATTATGTACCAAGGCGGGTGGTCACACTCTCCGCAGAGCGGCGCTGTTGCCCTCGGCCGATACCCGGTGATTTTCTTCCCCCGCGGGGCGAGTCTCTGCTCCGTCACTGCGGTGCCTGAGTAGTAGGGGACATTCTCGGTCTTCCTACCCCCGATGACCACTACAAATTCACCTCACTGTTCCAGGAAAAGACAGATCGTGCTAGTCATTCAATACACCTGTAATTTTTACAGATGAAGAAGTTTTATGCGTGCTGCACTTTCGCGGGAGTTTCACACATAATTTTATATCGGAACGTGCATGTCATATTTTGTTCTACGCACATATCTTTCACATACAAGTTCACGTACATATTCTATTTCAACATACATGTACATGTACACGATTCCGAGCGCTACGCATTGGATCGTCCACATTATTCCAACCCTAGATGTTTCATTAAAGGGGTGTAAATTACACAAACAAAATGCTCTATGACAGAAATATGTTTGGCCCAATCATCCTATTTATTATTTGCTGAATTCAGATCAAGTGATATACTCAGTTTATTTTGGTATTTCCCCGATTTAGGGTATTTTCTCCGTGTGATATCAAATGACCGCTGTAAATTTTCACCCTCGAATTTATTGGTATCGTCCTGATGGCAAACTCTAACCCTTCACCGACCGCAAACAGAATTATACATTTTTATCAGCAAATTGATAAATTGTAGTATTTTACCCTTTTTAAAATATAAAATATTATACTAATAACATAAAGAGTGAAGTGGTTATTTTCGTGTGGACTTAATGTTGATAATAATATTTATATCTTGGAAAACATGATAATATCAATAAATATATAAACTGGGATTTTTGTAAGGAAATATATAGAATTATTCATCTTACTGAAGGGGAAGGGACATTGCAAACTGAATGTTTCAATGTATACTTTTATACTATCGATGAGATCTGAACTAAAATTCAATCTGAATTTTGTTTTAATAAATACTATTTCTGATTTTACTTCGATTTGTTCTTTAAATTTGCCACTTAAGTCAAAAATTAATTCAATTTTTACTCACCCTCTCAAGGCAATTTTCGTATGCACCCCTATTGTACAGAATCGTGTGATCTATTTGTCAAGGTTGAATATTATTATTAGAACAACACAACATGCAGTGTTTTCCCAAGGACAAGCTGGACGTGCTCCGCTCAAATCGCCGGACAATTTGGTGAGTATTTTCTAGAAATCAACTGAATTTTTTACATATTTTAGGTTGTCTGCCGACTTTAGGAAGGCATATGGTGTTATGTGTACCCTGGCAAAAGCGAGTTTTGTTATTTTAACGTTGTTTTATTTGGAAAGACATATCGGAAGCAGTATCGAGACAATTGTGATTTTGTTCGATCGCCGCGCGAGTACCATGGTACAAACAACCATGGACATGATGGAGGAATCCTCCATGGTACAACAGGGTTCGCACTACCAACTGTGTGGTGAACGAATGGTTGGGGGCATTTCGTGTGGTCTTATCAGGCAGATCTTGTGTTTACATGGTAGGTGACAACTTTGCAGATATTTCCACCATAAAGTCTTTTAAAGATGTTTTTCAAGATGGTCTCATCTGATTAAGCACAACATTACTGGAGTTACCTTAGCCCCATAAATGTGGCCAATTGACTACCTCCGTAAATAAAGGCCACACTTCCACCATGTACAAAAACATGTCGAACTTGGTCAAATTTTGATTCTCACATTTTTGGCTTAGTTTGTAGGTTGTTTTTTTTTGCTTTAGAAGCATACTCACCCTCTTTATACTAGGCTAATCAGAAAGTGCTGCCTTTTTCAGATGTCTATTTTCAGTGAAATTTCCAGATTCGTTTGCACACATTTGCGTATCAAAATTTCAACATGAAATTTCACGAAAATTAGACATCTGAAAAAGGCAGCACTTTCTGATTATAAAGAGGGTGAGTATGCTTCTAAAGAAAAAAAAACCCTACAAACTAAGCCTAAATGTGAAAATCAAAATTTGACAAAGTTTGACATGTTTTTGTATATGGTGGAAGTGTGGCCTTTATTTACATGTACGGAGGTAGTCCAGTAAATTGGCCACATTTATGGGGCTAGAGTTACATCAGCCCTATATTTTATTATTGGGTTGTCATATATGACAACCCAATAATAAAATATATGGCTGAAGTAACTCCAGCTACTTGATGTGTAAATTAACAAAATTTGTCCATAAATGTAAAATAGAATTGATATAATATTTTGGGAAAAGAATGTTGCATCCTGACGCCACTTTTTTTCCTCACTCATGTGTTATCTCACTGAAGGTCAGTCATTGAAAATATGTTGAAAAGACATGAATCTGGGGAAAGAGTTCCATACCTGGACATCCCTTGACACCCTGTGCACAAACCCTATGAGACTGGTCTGAAAAATTCCAAGTGTTTTCTCAGTAAATGCTTCAATATCTGCCCTGCTAAATAAGACTTTTTAGGACATGTTATCGCTTTCTGATGGCTGATTCGTCACTGCACGGAAAACTTACTGATGTCCATATAATTACATAATATTGGATGGCTCTGAGGTGGATACCAGAATATATTGCACAAGCTATGACAATATTGCACGAGTCGAAGACGAGTGCAATATTGTCATAGCAAGTGCAATATATGGGTTGTAGGGACTGAGCAACATTAATTTGAAAAAAATCATTTTTGCGTGCGACCAGGAAAGGTCAATATCGCGATACCTCTAACATAGCTAGTGGTTGTGTACAAAGTCTATGGAGAGTCCAGAACATTTTAAAGTATAGCTTCGGAAACCCTAGTAAAATTTGGGACTCTCAATACTGTGCACTTGTTCAGAGAAAAAGGCCACTTCGTAAAAAAAAGGACACTCTTTACAAATTATTGGGGGGGGGGGTAAGCCCGTTGAAATAGGGCATTTGAATGGAAAAAGGCAGTCTTTACAAAATATTGGGGGTAAATACCCCCTCCCCCCCCCCCCCAACTTAGTTCAAGTGATAATTATGTGCAGTTTTATGCTTGCACCGTAGCAATTATTGAATGTTTTTATACAAAACTTAATGTCCATTTATGACCAACAGACAATAAAATATTGGAATTTGATTTCATCATTATTTTTAATACAAAAAAATCAGTGAAATCATCATGATATACCCTGAAAACTGATAATAGTGATACTATAAAAGTTTAGTATACTGTATAGTGATAGGGGAAGTGGGTTGGCTGGGGGTGGGGTGTGTTGGGGTGGGGTGAGTCGGGTTGGGGGTGTGTTGAGGTGGGTGGCAAGGAGTGTGGAAGAGGGGTGGGGTGAGGGTGTGTTACTAGGCTGGGGTGGGGTGAGTCGGGTTGGGGGTGTGTTGAGGTGGGTGGCAAGGAGTGTGTAAGAGGGGTGGGGTGAGGGTGTGTTACTAGGCTGGGGTGGGGTGAGTCGGGTTGGGGGTGTGTTGAGGTGGGTGGCAAGGAGTGTGAAAGAGGGGTGGGGTGTGGTGAGGGTGTGTTACTAGGGTGAGGTGGGCCGGGGTGAGGTTGGGTGATGTGGGGTGGGGTCGGGTGATACTGAATGGGTTGTGTTTGGGTGGGATGACTGATAGGGTGTGGAAGTGGGGTGGGGTGGATATAACATCTTAACAGAGAACCTATGGAAATATCGTTTGCACCATTGTCTTTCTCCTTTCCAGAGCTTTTATTTGATGTAAATTTCAGCTATATTTGAACTTAAACTAAACAGTATGCTAATTAAATAAGGGACACAGTCACGTTGACTCAAATTACGACAAGAAGAATTCATGGAGTATGGTGTCTTTGGGAGGGCATAACTCACGATAGGAAGCTCCTATGGCAATATCGTTTGCACCATTGTCTTTCTCACATCTAGAGCTTTAATTTGATGCCAAGTTTGACTAAATTGGAACTTAAAATAAACAGTATGCTCATTTCTAACAAAACAATCACGTTCACTCAAATGACGACCAGAATAGTAAAAAAACAAATGAAAGCAGGTTATTTCTAAGCCCAGTAAACTAACTTGGGTGCTGGAACTCCTTTTTTGAAATTTTGCACCGTGATTGTGTAAAATGACCTACGACAAATTTTGGCTGCACAGAGTAACCCTCAAGTGTGCGCGCACATCAGACACTGGCGCAAATGATTTTCATTTTCACAACACTACAATTAACACTATTACGGAAATACTATTTGGAAAAGAACATTTTAAAACGTTTGACAGGAATATCCGTAATTCTTGTAGGATTACAGAAAAATTTAATAAAAAGCCTTCAAACTGGTGAAATAAAGACGACTGTTAGGCCAAAAAAAAAAAACTCGGTCTTTGGTCAGCGCACGCGTCGATAATAATCATGCGCGTCAACCTTTTTTTTTTCTTCAAATTAACACGGAAGCTACAACAGCGCCCTCTATTGCTGCACCTCCTCAAATTTTTGTACCAAGGAGCACCAAGGAATGGGGAAATTGTACCAAGGCAAATGATAAAGGGCACCAAGGCAAATTATGGAGGACACCAATGTATAATGAGGACACAAAAAAGCAAAATAGTACCCACCTTGTCTGTACAATACAAGCTTGAAAAAAAAAAGAAAAAAAAAGCGCGTCACCGCATCAATTCCGGAACTTCGGTCTGACCAGAGACCGACTATTTTTTTTTTTTTTGCCTTACTTCGAAAATGAAAATGAAAAATACGCGCGCACAATAGCGGGCTCTCAAGTCCACTGTGGGTGACACTTCATGGTGTTGCTGACGATTTATCACACTATAGTCACACAGTGCTTTTACCAATACTTTGCATAGATCTCCATTCATGAATGTGATACTGCTCTTATAGATAACTTCATTCTTGGTTTGCTGTTTTTTTTAAAGCATATCACACAATGACAGTGACATATTACACTTGAAGTAAATTCAATAAACCATAAAGATTAAAAAAAATTAAAAAGGACGAATGCCCACCCTTACTAAAGTTATCAGGATAAGTTATCATTTTGTTGAGGGGTACTCGTTTTTTTTTAAGCTTGAGATCTAGAGCGCAGTACATGTGTTTTGAGACACCTCCATTTAAGTCCTTTTTGCCTATTTTCTGAGTTAAAAAGGCTGATGAACTGACCTGGTTGTGGTTAGATTCTACCAAGACCCCCCCCCCCCCCCCCAAAAAAATAGAAAAATCATGCAGTGAAAAGTAGCACATGCCTGTTAATCAGTTACAAGTACTGCATTTAAAAAAATCACATTACATGGGCCCTTTAAAACCTTAACCCTGCTGAATCCAACAGGATCCAACTATATCATAAACCCATTGGAGCCTGTTGGAGCCTGTTGGATTCTGTTGGATTCTGTTGGATTGAGCAGTAAACCCCTTGTATAAATGTACATGTACATATTCAGAGTCGGAGTCTGTTGGGTACTGATAAATAACGCCAAGTTGGAATCTGTTGGATCCAGCAGACAACTAAAAATTAGGCACAGTTGGATTCTGTTGGATTGAGCAGGAAGTAACTGTTGGACTCTGCTGGATTTAGCAGGGTAGTCCTGAGGAACCCTTAAGGGGTTAGGATTAATCGTAGATGTCTTGACAAAGCACGCACAGTGTACTGGAGAGTGGAGAAATTATGATAGGATATCAAACACTTCATTGTGGGAGTTGGCAACACACAGTTTTGCTACATGTTATGTATTGAGTCAGATTTAAATTGTAATCATGCTGTCTCATTCAACAATCACCTCTATGTATACCCAAAACCAATCCAGTCCAGCTGCCTCCATCCCATCCCATCGTTCCTATCCCATGCCATTCCCACCTAACCCTGCCAAGCCCACCCCATCCCAACCCGGCCCAGTCCATCCCCAGCCCAGCCCAGCCCAGCCAATTCCATCCCCATTCCAGCCCCATTCCAGCCCAACCCAGCCCATGCCCATTCCATCCCTATTCCAGCTACGCCCATTCCAGTCCAACACAACCCAGCAAATTCCATATCCAGCCCATTTTCCAGCCCAAATTCCAGCGCAGCCCATTCCATCCGCATTCCAACCCAACCCAGCGCAGCCCATTCCATCCGCACTCCAGCCCAACCCAGCACAGCCCATTCCATCTCCATTCAAGCCATGCCCACCCCATTCCACCCCACCCATTCCACCCCACCCCATTCCACCCCACCCCATTCTATTCCACTCCATCCCACCCCATTCCACCCCATTCCACCCCAACCCATTCATCTCTACCCCACCCCATTCAACTCCACCCCACCCCATTCAACTCCACCCCATCCCACCCCACCCCATTCAACTCCATCCCATTCCATCCCACCCCATTCCACCCCACCCCACCCCATCCCTTTTTATCCCACCCCATTCCACCCCACCCCACCCCACCCCATTCAACTCCATCCCATCCCATTCCATCCCACCCCATTCCACCCCACCCCACCCCACCCCATTCAACTCCATCCCATCCCATTCCATCCCACCCCATTCCACCCCACCCCACCCCACCCCTTTTTATCCCTCCCCA